TAGCGCGGGACGGGTGGGCCGCCCCAGCCATTTAAATTTAAATGAAGCCGCGATTATTTTAATCGCGGCTTCATTTCCCTCTTCTGATCTGGCTAATCTACATGCCTCCGTCGAAGGAGGCATGTAGTCTAGACACACCCCTAGTAATGTCAACAGGGGTTTCTTCAACAGAGGCAAAGAATATTAGACCTCTTGCCTTTGCTGCCACAGCCTGAACTCTGATCAGGTCTCAGTGTCCTGAAAGTCATCACCAACTATGGATTCTCTTCCCACCATAAAAATCCAGCCAACTACCGTTGAGAGCAGGAGAATCCTTTGATGCTACTAACAATGTAGCTGTCATACAACATAGTACCCTGTTAAAAACACGATAGCTACGTCTACACTGGCATGATTTTCCGGAAATGCTTAAAACGGAACAGTTTTCCGTTATAAGTATTTCTGGAAAAAGCGCATCTTCTAGACACGCTTTTCCACAAAAAAGCCCCGATCGCCATTTTTGCGATCGGGGCTTTTTTGCGGAAAACAGTACTGTGCTGTTTACACTGGCCCTCTTGCGCAAATGATTTGCACAAGAGGGCTTTTGCCCGAACGGGAGCAGCACAGTATTTCCGCAAGAACACTGACGTTCTTACATGAGATCGTCAGTGTTCTTGCGGAAATTCAAGCGGCCAGTGTAGACAGCTGGCAAGTTATTCCGGAAAAGCGGCTGATTTTCCGGAATAAGTGGCCAGTGTAGAAATTCCTGGCTCTGCTGAAGTCCATGAAACATCAGTGGAATTACACCTGAAGTGAATTTGGCTCAGAAAGCCACGCTGGGGACAGAGGAGGAGGGTGCTAGAAGCTCATGTGGACTGCATTTATACCACAAAACTCTAGGGCTGTGTCTAGACTGGCAAGTTTTTCCGCAAAATCATTTGCTTTTGTGGAAAAACTTGCCAGCTGTCTACACTGGCCGCTTGAATTTCCGCAAGAACACTGACGATCTCATGTAAGAACGTCAGTGTTCTTGCGGAAATACTGTGCTGCTCCCGTTCGGGCAAAAGCCCTCTTGTGCAAATCATTTGCGCAAGAGGGCCAGTGTAAACAGCACAGTACTGTTTTCCGCAAAAAAGCCCCGATCGCAAAAATGGCGATCGGGGCTTTTTTGTGGAAAAGCGTGTCTAGATTGGCCACGGACGCTTTTCCGCAAAAAGTGCTTTTGCGGAAAAGCGTCCTGCCAATCTAGATGCTCTTTTCTGAAAATGCTTTTAACGGAAAACTTTTCCGTTAAAAGCATTTCCGGAAAATCATGCCAGTGTAGACATAGCCTAGGAAGGCTTGAATACCCTTTTGCTATATTGCTGTAGTAACTTCTGGTGAATTATGTTGTCACACAAGCATTATCCTCTCCCGATGCAGAAAATAACAGATTTTCACTGCCACAGTGTAACGACGTCACATTTTCAATACTAATGTACAGCAGATCTGACTCACTGCAGAGGTTCTCAAGTCTGAAAGCTGCCCATAGTTCCTGTTTTTAAGGAGCTTTTCACAGTTGCATCATGGAGTCCCACTCAGGTCTTGACTTTCATTGCATGGCTACAGGGTAGAAAAATTCAGTATCACGTCATCTCTATATAATTATTTAAAGAAATATAATCATCTCCTACTACAAGTCAATTTCATGTAATACTTGATCATAAAACAGGGCTATAGAAAGTTACATTTATTTAAACAAAAATAGGAAAAGAGAATCATCTCTTAACCCCACAAACATGGAAGCCACTCGGGACTAGAGCAGTTTGACACACACACACTCAATTCAGCCCTGTGGAACATTAATGAACAACCTAAGACCCTGATTGTTCAAGGACTTTGGCACATGCACAACTTTTTGCACTGAGACCTATGGGACTATTCACTTGTTGTGTGGGCCCAACCCTTTGCAGCATTAGAGGTAACATTTTATTCCCTTTATCTGTAGTTTGCCAGTTACCTTCTCTTCATGATTTTTAACTGTAATCCTGTAGCTCTGCCTGGATGGGCTAGCTCTTCAGAATTTCGAGTTTTGACATGTTTTCTTTGCTGGTTCTTGAAAGTTCTTTCTCTGTAGGAAAAATTAATTGGAATGGGTAAAGGGATATGAACTAGTACAGATAATGATAGTTCAAACTACTGAGAATTAATAAATCTGGGTCTGGCCTTTATGGCTATAAAGACCCAAGGTGAAATTTTGGCCCCGATGATGGGGCATATCAACCTTGCACTGGAGAGCAGGGAGTAAGCTCTGCCCAACTGGTTGAAAGAGCCCCTCCCGCATATCCCTGCTGGGCATGCGCCTGGTGGAACCAGTCTATAAAAAACTTTGTCGGGGCTGACCGCTGATGGGGAAGGAGCTGCTGGGATAACCCAGGAGTGGAAGAGTGACCAGAACTTCCAGCAGCAGCCAGGCCTAGAGGTGCTATCTGCAGGGTCAGTGGATTGCAGGGAGGCAACAGGGGAGATATCCGCCAGACCCCAGTAGGAAGTAGCCCAGGGTGGGGAGTCACCCCAGAGTCTCAGTATGTTGTGGCAGGTGGCAGCCTCAGCCATTGCCTACAGAGCCCTGGGCTGGGACCCGGTGGAGTGCGAGGGGCCGGGTACCCCACTCCACTCCGTAGCTGCCTTGAGGTACCTACAAGCCTGTGAACTAGGCTCAAGACCGTATTAACCCTGATATAAGGGCCTGCAGATGGACTTTGGCCTATCAGCCATATTACCTCTAGCGAAAGGGACTGATGACTAGACTCTGCCCACCAGGTCATATTAAGCTGTCTATAAGGGCCTGCGGATGGTCTTTAGCCTTTGGGCTGTATCGTACATAATAAGAGGAGACTGAGGAATAGACTTTGGTCGCCTGGCCACATCAACCCCGCTGTTAGGGCCTGGGTGCGGACTTTGGCTGCAGGGCCGTATTATGTCTCCCAGAGAGGGACACAAATAGAGACCCCAGTGGGTAGGCCACAAAGGGGGGCTAAGTTCGAGGGGCTTCCCAGAGTAGGTTGCCCCTGGACAGCCCCATTGAAATAACTGGGAATTTTGCCATTGACTTCTATGGGAACAACATTCCACCTCTGGATTTAACCATGATTCAGTCACACAGATGAAAAGGTGGTTCTCATGCCAAACGTCCCTTAAACACATTGCAGGTTACAAGGACACAGTATTATGCATAACTCACAGAAAGCTCAGAACTGAACTAGCCTGTGTTAATGATGAGAGACTGAAGCTCATTGCCCAGAATTTGCCTCACGTGTACCTGGAATGTTAGGAGGGCAATAGTTCAGGATGGAGGTGGACTGCCAAGAGATGTTCCTCTTTCAGACGTGGAATCAGAATGGGGCATTGTAGGACTGCAACATATTAGCACACTGAAGGAGATATTCCCATGACATCTGCCAGCATTGTGCCTGGGCTAGCCAATCCCATTGGTTCCTCACTTTAAATTGCCCCTAAATCGATTCACAAACAATATCAAATAATCAGCACCCACAATTCAGTATAAAACTTACATCTCCTCTAGATTTAATGAAGGAATTTGGAACTTTGCAATGTCTCAAACAGATGAGTCTTGTATATTTCACATCTATGGTACAGAGAAGCACACTTTAAGTCTGTAAAGAGCAGCCCAGCTGCTCATCCATTCAACCATTTTTAAAGAACAATTAAAGTGAATATTGCAAAGGTCTGAGACAGACCATCATCTCACCATCTGGAGAAGTGATTGTCCACCACTGCAACTTTTATCTCACAGGTGAGCCTCTACATGGAGAATGCAAAGCAAGTTCACAGAGTGAAACTGAAATTGTAGTTAGAGTCCCCTTTTTAATATCTTGTGCTGACATCTCTGGGACTGAAGCAGATACACAGGGAAAACACAACATAGCAGAGAAGAAATTTTAAAAAAATTAGTCAGCTCTCTGCATTTGGGGTACCAAGCTGCCGTTCCAAGAAATCCTGCTCGCCACACTCCCATAAACAGATCTAATGAGGAAAAAGAAAAGGGTTTCTAACATGCCTTATTTTTAAGAAAAAATAAAATAAAATAGTGTCACAAGTCTTACATCCTACATAAATCCTGTTTAGCTCACATATCTAGGCCTTATCTTGTCATTATACACTTCAATGGAAGTAGGATCAAACTTTTATATGTAATGATTTATTAGGGCATAGGATGTTTGATAGGCTTGGTAGTAATCCTTTCACCTTTAATTTACTAGTTTGACTCCAACCTAAATCAGTAGTGACTGAAAGGACTCATGATCCGATAATTATTTGGTGTTCTATGTGAAATACATTTGGGGGCTCAGTCTAGTTCCTAGCATGAGTGTTCACATCACACACATGCACCACAGACACAACTGTCACTCTTTATAAAAAGAGACACTGAACTGAATAGGTCATGAACATCAAACTGCCTTCTCCCTAGGTGCGACCCATAGAGGTTTGAGTTGTGAGAGACAATGATGGAGAAGTTTCTACCAGTCATACATTGGTTCTGCAAAAAGAGGACTGACCTTCTCAGGACTGTCAGCCTGGACCCTTTCTCTGGTATTAGAGAGTGTACACAATTTTTTTTTAAACAATCCCATGAAATGTTATGTTAATCCCTGTTATGCCACTGAAATTGTATCATAAAAACAGATTTTGAAATCCAGCACCAGGAATCTATAGGGTTATGTCATAAATTTCCTATACAGGTGAAAAAATAATATTCTTGCACTGATTTGACTCCAGCTTTGTTGGAGGACTATGCCTGTAACATTATTATTATATAGTTAAGTATTTAAATGTTTTTGAACTAACAGGACGTTACATAACTTGCAAACAGAGATACCTGATACCATGATTCAAGTATGATGCCTTGTAATGAAGGCAGTGGAGTTATACCAGGCAAGAACTTGGCCGAATGTGCCCACATCACAAAATCATCGTATGACCTGGCACAATGCAACATGATTAATAATAAAATAATTATGACTGACTAGTCTCAGAAGCCCAAGAGCCAGATTTAGACTTGGCATTAGCAGATACAGATTTTAACTGTAAAAGAAGCTGTATTTGCTTGTTCTAAGTCTGAAAAGGACCCAGTAGTACAATAGAAAAAGTGCTGTGAGTCACACCCACAGTGCATTAAACATAACACTACGGGAGAATTATACACAGAAGCTTTGTACATTGGGCCTGAGCTGCCTTTCAGTTAGGACTGAGTTACACATCTTTAACATTACTGGCTTCAGTGGAATAATTTGATGGTAGGGGAAAGAAGGGAGAGGGAGTCAGAATTAGCCTCAGTACACCTTACTCTAACTAGTGCTATTAGTTTCTTGCATCCATCAATGGAAAAACCACCCTAAGGTATTGGTTTGTAGCAGTTTTATATTCCGGTTGATGCTATGTTTTGTTTACATCTAGAGAAAATGATTCACCTTTTCTCTCTTTCTCTTCAGAATCCAACACAGGCTCTGACCCTATTCCCACTGATATCAAAGAGTGTTTTGCTACTGGCTTCAGTGAAATCAACAAAAGGACAATATATTCTAGTCTGCTTATTTGTAATCAGAGCTCTAAGGAGCTAATACAAAACTGCCACCAAAATGTATTGTTCCAGAAAAACAAGCAAACATTCAAATCTGACCTATCTTTCCAATAATGAAGATGAAAATACCAATATGTTAGTCTCCCATTTAACTCATTCCTTTCCTTAGGTCAGTGGACTCCAACCTTTTTAAGCACAAGATCACTTTTTGAATTTTAATGCAATCTACGATGTACCTGAAACTCAAATACCCTTGCATCTCCTCTTTCGAGCCTCTTTTCTGAGGCCCTCCCTCTGTTCACACCATCCTCTCTCCCTCCCCCATCCTTCCTCCTTTTCACCAGGCAGGGGCAGAGGGTTGGGGCACAAGATCTGGTCTTGGGCTAAGGGATTGAGAGTGTGAGAGGGGCTCTGAGCTAAGCCTGGGGCAGGGAGTTGGGGTGCAGGAGGGGCTTCAGGGTACAGGCTCTGTAAGGGAGTTTGAGTCCAGGGCGATCAGGGCTAGGGCAGGGGTGTGGAGTGTAAGAGGGGGTACATGACTGGGGCAAGGGTTCAGAGCTGGCTCCAGCTGGACACTGCTTACCTCAGGTGGCTTCTGGGTGGTGGTGCAGTGGGGCTAAGGCAGGCTCACCCCACCTTGCGCCTGTACCACTCTCAAAAGCAGCCAGCAAACTCCCTCCATCCCAAGCCCTGTTGTGCCCCTCCCTTAAATTCTGTGGAGATAGAATACAGGGTGGGAGAGGGGGCACTGTGACATCAGCACTCTAAGGCAAAGGGCATGAGATGCGCAGCTGTGGGGGGAGGGGCATCTGAGGTGCCAGCACTTGGTAGCCTCTTGGCCAAACCAGTTAGGATCACATGCCAGAGGCTTCAAGATCTACCAGTAGATCCTGATCTACTGGTTAATGACCACTGCCTTAGTTGAATGGACTCATGTAATCATCAAAATAGTCTTAACTGGGCCTTAGTCAGGCTTTAGCAAGGCACAATATAGAATCAGGGCTGCCCGGATAACAACAATGCACTTTGGGACAACTTTTAATGTTCCAAAATGTGTCTTTGTTCCTCTCTGGGAGGAGGATCAAACCTTTTGACACCACTCATTAAATGGAATTGTGGCAGAAATATCCATTTTCTAATGGGTATTTCTCTCTCTCTTTCAGTGATCAGAGAATTCATTTTGGACTTCGGAAACCTTCCCATCAAAAACTTTGTCAAGTGTCCCCACAATATCTGCACTTCAAGGACATGGCATATTTTGACAAAAAGTGATCTTGAAAGTGTTCTGACCAGCTCCTATTTGGGGGACTTGGCTGGACTGCAAAATAACCTAAAAACCAGGGATGTCAGAATCTTGCATGGGGGGGAATCCCGGATTTACTGAGTTCTGCCGGTGACTTCAATGAGGCTCAGACATTCCACCTGCTTTGGTATATTTGAAGTGATACACTTCTGTTAGGATTAAGATCGTTGCTACTTGGTAAAGGTGGGTCCTCCTATCCTAGCAGCTCCAGCCTGAAGCTCGCGCACACACCGGTATTTTCCTTTGGATGCAAGAGAGCCACATTTGCTATAATCTTCTAACCCGAGACGGACTTGGCCAAGTCTTGAGCGCTGAGAGGACAGGGAGAAGGGAGAACCGCCTTCTTCCTGGCTTCGTAGCACTTTCTGTCCTTTGTGCTCAGAATTGTACGTTTTGTATTCGTTCAGTGACAAGGAAATTGGCACAAGGCCGTTGTATTAGCGAGCTTAGAGCCCGGCTAATGCAGGAGCCTAATTGATCAGCTCCCAAGCCCCGCTCCAGGCCAAATGGCCTAGAGGAGTGTGCGACTGTGGCGGGGGGAAGAGGGGGTCGGCAGCAGTTGAGCGCGCCTGCAAGTAACTGTGTCGCGCCTGGATGGCTGAGCCTGGGACACGACTAGCTGCCTGGAGGCGATCAGGCCGGGCGCTGCACCGACCACCCTCCTGTTGCAGGGCTGCGGGGTTGGAGTGCGCAGGGGCTGGGGCAATGGGGAGTCTCTTCCCGGCAGCGGAACCCACGTGGGAGACGCGGCTTACGGGCCCTTTTGATGCCCAGCCCCGCGAGCCTCTGCCTCCTCTTCGCCCGAGGAAACTTCACCCGAGTCCACGCGCGTTTTGTTTCGCGTTGTGCGGGAAGGATCGGGCCCGAGCACAGCTGCTCGCACGCGCCGTCTTCTCCCCAGCCTGGAAACCCCACTCGGGCCATTCCTGTTCGCCACTGGCCGGGGTAACGCTCTGCCCGGACTCGAACCAAACCCCGCGGTCTTCCCGGCCTGGGGCTCTGCCCTGGGGCAGTGGAGCGCTCGGAGCGGCACGGGCCGGGCAGGCTGCTGCCAATACTGTTCCAAGCAAACGTCGGGGCGTTTGCAACCCCGCCCCCATTTCCCGCTCCTCACCCCCTGCAGCTCCCAGTCCTTTGGCAGCTGCTGGGCGCGGGGAACGGTGCCCCAGCTCCAGGACAGGCCGGGGAAGGCCAAGAGCCGAGTCTCGGTTGGTCTCTGCGGAAGGGCTGCCCCCTTCCTGCACAGTTCGGGGGCTTCCTAGCGGGGGAGAAGCTGGCGCGCCCGGACTGGGACACGTGTCTAATGGGGACACTGGGCTCCAGTGAACGCAACGCTACCTCGGGTGGATAATGGGACCTGCTTTCAGCCAGGGGCTGCAGCCCCCGCACCCACAGTCCCAGCACTGGGGCCGTGGCCAAGCCGCTGCTCGCCAGGGACTCACTGGAGCGTTTTCTCGCTTCCCTTTGCAGCGAGGTCGTCTGGGAGCGAAGGCGAGTCCCGAACCATTGCTAGGGCGCAGGAGGGCGCCTGGTTTGGGGAGCGCGGGCAAGGAGGCCAAACAACGGGGCAAAGTCGCTGCCCCTCGCAGTGCCCGACCGGGGGCTCCCCTGCAGCTCACTAGTGTCCAGCTAGCCCGGGCCAAGCCCGGGGCTCTGCATTTCCCTCCAGAGGGAAGGTGCATCAGGTCTTAGAACCAACACACTCTAGACACGCGAACTGCAGCTGTCTGTAAATCAGCCCCTATCAGCGCAAGCCCACAGATCACACACTGCTCTGCCCACAGAATGTCCCACTCTCCGCGTCTCGTTGGCCACTGCTGACACAAGGGTCTGGGAGACTCTTCGGAGTGTTGTATTTTAACTTGTAAAATAGCAGCACTTCCTTCTAAACTCTGCCTTTGCTTTTCCGAGCAGAGGAGACTGACTCTCTTGCCCTAGTATTCTACCCCGAGTTGCGAGACTGTAGCAAGCACCCTGCTGGCTCCGTGCTTAGTGACCAGCGGAGGGTTTGCTGCCGGGAGAAGCTCTGACCTTCCCTGCCCACAAGTCCTTCCCAGGGTAACCTTAGCACGGTTGCTCCAAAGCAGCAGGGAACCAGTGGCAGCAGTTTCCAAACCAGGCAGCTGATAAAATAATAAAACCCAACAGACATTTTATAAATAAAAGATGCGGTGCTAAAAGAGGGTTTTTTAAAAAGAGGGCATCTCTTCTAAAAGTGGTGTCCTGAGGAAAAAAACTTGGGAAAAGTTCCCCACACTAAACCAAAGCATTTAACAATGCAATGATCTGACCAGTTCTGAAATGAAGAACGCCTGCCTGGCTGCTAAAGCCAGTACACGTCATTTCTCCGAGGAAGGTTTTGGAAATGTTCTCCATTCAGAGATGTATTGGGAAAAGGGTGTGTAAAATCATACCAGCTAGGAAACGAGGAAAATAAGGAGCCGGTGCACTCGCCAATCACCTTTTAAAATGAATTGTCGTTTCCCTTTTTCTAGCCGCTGGTTGGTGTGTTCGTCAGTTATTTATTGGATCAAAAATATTTGATCTGCCATGGGAACATTGTTAAAATTGATTCCAGGACAACTCTTTTGGCTAATTTATTACAGCGCCTGGCTTAACCCCACAGTTAGATAAATTATTTTCTATCTGAAACTCCAAGAATAAATAAATAAATAAAAACCAACCAACCGCCAGCTTGCTTTTGTTGATCTTGATACTGTATCTTGACTGTAAAACAAACAACAAACAAACACACGAAGAAATACAGTAGGTGAAGTTAATAGAATTTTTTAAGAATTGAGAAAAATATTTAAAATATCTTACCTGGACTTTAACAAACCCAGCCCTGCCTTTATAGAGTAACTGCTGAAATCCTAGTGGACAGCAGTGAAAGGATGCAGCCTGAATTGCTTTCTGCTCTTTTTATACTACGATAGCCAATTAATATTGCATCACCCTTATTTTAAATTTTCAAAACCCACAATATAATGTAATGGCATAAGGACATTTATTATTAAAGGACATTTGATTGGGAAAAATCATTGGGGCTGATTAGGAAGAAATAGAGCTAGGAAACTCTGGGAAGTTTAGCATTCTAGTTTTTTAAAAGACCTACAATTAAAAGGATGGATTTGTAAGGTGCTTTCCCAAAGGTGGGGTGAGGTGGGGGTGTGAAAGAGATAGAATCCCTGATCTAAGGTTTGATGTTTGACACTCATTGAAATGCTACGGTGAAATATTCAGAAGATACTTGGGCTTCGATCATTAATTTTTAATCGTTAAGGTGCTTCTGGGATTCATAAATAAAAGCCCTCTTTTTTCTTTTAAACAGCATTAGAAATGATCCTTTCAGGGAGTTGGTTGAGCGATTTTTTTAAATTAAACTTTAGAGAATGAAACACTTTCTGTAACTCTGTCCGGGTGAGAAAAATGAATCCCGTGCCTTCCAAAACTTACTTAAACTTTGGGTCATTAGCTTTTCAAAGGGGAGCTAGTTTTTCCCCGTTTGAATTACACGCAGCCTAGGAGCTAGCTAATAAATATAACAAAAACCCACGCACTGTCGGAATTTTCAGGAAATCTGGTAATTTACATTTTATAGACGGAGGTAATACATTTTCTGGCACAAAGAAATTATGACAGCCTTGAAAAAAAATCCCAAGGTAAATCAATACATGGAAAAGTGTAGAAACAAGGTGGTGAAACTTTACAGCTGGTAGAAACAGTCATATAATACAGGAGAAAGATAACGGGTTAACGGGAAAGGAAATTGTGTTAATTCAGAAAGGATCATCAGAATGCATAGCAATTAAAATAGCCAAAGCAACAGCAGCATGACTAGTAAAGCTGACTCATTACGATTTAAAATCCCTTTCCATTCTCCTGTGGAAAAGCATCGTCTAAAGTTTAGTATTATTACTTCTTATTTATAATAGTCTGTTCCGCTTCGTCCGACCAGCTTTCATCTCTGAAAAGAAAAGACTCCATTCGGGTTGAAAAATAAAGCATTTATTTCAGAAGTTAATCCAAGGGAAAACAACTTTTCAGAATGTATCCCGAAGAATGAATGAATGAATGAATAAATAAATAAACAAATTAATTAAATAAATGGCCACACACAAAAGCACACAAACTATGAGAGATAATAACTAAAATGTGAATCGTACGGGGGTAAGAGAGAGAAAGCACTTTGCAAATCTTGAACCAAGAATTTGTTACCAGAATCCTTACCAACTTTGTGTATTACAAAACTTAGTCTTTCATTAAAACGGGGCAAAAAATCTTGAATAAAAAAAGAAAGGGTGGGAGGGAGAAAATCGAGTGGAGACACCGTTCAAGCGATTACAGCAAGTCCATGAAGTTACAGAGCTACCGTTCATTTCAAGTCCCAGTGGTCTGGCTTCAAACCCGAGTGAGTGCACTGTACAAGTCTGTGGTGGGAATCTATGGAGCTGACAGGCGTTAAACTGTGTTCAGACTAGTGCACGAATACCGCTTCGTTCCAGTTTCATCTCTTGTAAAAATAAAGTCAATTAAATAAGAGAACTTGATTTAAAGGTGAATTTTTAAAAAATCCAAGCACTACACCTGGCATCTAGTTGGAGATAGTTTTATGTGCGGGTTAGGGAAAAAGAAAATTCACACGAAGAGCAGCCAAAGTATTTCGTTGAGTAAATATAGGTTGATTTGCTGTTCTTTACTAAAGTGTTGGCGTATAAAACAATTGTTCACGTTTATCTGATTAAGCCTGGACGTTTGTCTGCCAGACATTTCGGTCCTAGAATGCGATGAGATATAGAACCCCCACAAATAGCTAAGTAGAATTTGACCTCCGGATATAATCACGACTTTCTGAAAATAACCTTTTTATTTTTAAATATAATTCACAAATCTTAATAAATATTTATCCTCTGGTTTACCTCCCTGCCTCTCCAGGGGGCATGTCCCCACTCCATCCCCTTCAACCTATCCTTTTATTGTTATTGCAATTGTGTTAGAAAGAAGACAATTCCCCCACCTCTCCAGTACCTCTCAACTCCCAACTCTTCCAAAAGTGACAAGCAGTGCACAACAGAGACAACAAAAGTGAATCTCAGCCGAGGGAGTAACTTGTTCTGTTTGTTTTCAGAACAAGAAAGGGGGGGGGGGGGGGAGAGGGGAACTTGGTCGGTCAGTTTCAGGATCCCTGCTCTTTCTCGGAATAAAATCTATAGAAGTCCAGGCTTCGAGAAGCCAGCAGCCCGCCCCGTCCCACCCAGCCCCGGCCCAGTCAGTGCACCGCGGAGTACTTCATGCGTTTCTGTTTCTGTCTCTGGTTGCAGAACCAAACCCGCACCACGTTTTTTTTCAGGTCCAGTTTCTCCGCTACGGTCAGTTTCAGGATCCCTGCTCTTTCTCGGAATAAAATCTATAGAAGTCCAGGCTTCGAGAAGCCAGCAGCCCGCCCCGTCCCACCCAGCCCCGGCCCAGTCAGTGCACCGCGGAGTACTTCATGCGTTTCTGTTTCTGTCTCTGGTTGCAGAACCAAACCCGCACCACGTTTTTTTTCAGGTCCAGTTTCTCCGCTATGGCTGCGATCTTCTCCGAAGAGGGTCGGGGCTGGATGGCAAAGTAGGCTTCCAGGGAGCGCTTCTCCGGGGCGGCGATGGAGGTCCGCTTGCGTTTCCGCTCGCCGCCGCTGAAGAGCTCGGGCTTGGCGTTCTTCTCCCGGTAGGCGGCCTCCGCCTCCTCCAGCCAGGCCTGCAGCACCGGCTTGAGGGCGATCATGTTGTTGTGCGACAGGGTGAGCGACTCGAACCGGCAGATGGTGCTTTGGCTCAGCGAGCCCACGCCGGGGATCTTGAGGTTGGCCAGGGCCGCCCCCACGTCCGCCTGGGTCACCCCCAGCTTGATCCGCCGCTGCTTGAAGCGCTCGGCGAAAGCCTCCAGCTCCCTGGGATCCGACTCCACGTCGCTGACGCAGCCCAGCCCATTGTGAGCCGCGGCCGGGTGGGGGTGGCCCATGCCCATGGCCTGGTGCAGGTGGCCCATGGCGCCCAGGTGGTGCGGGTGGATCTGAGCCGACATCCCCGTGGGGTCGGGCGGCCCCATGCCGCCCACGCTCAGCGCTGGGGAGAGGTGCTCCAGGAGGTCCCCCTCCAAGCCCGGGTGCACGGCGTGGTGGGGGTGCGAGGTCAGGGCCGCGGGGTGCGAGATGGGCGCGGCGGAGGAGGTGGAAGAGCATGGGACGCTGCTCATGGTATGGTAGGTCGCGTCGGGCTTGAAGGGATGGCTCTTGCCGTGGGAGACAATATCCACCGCCGCCAGAGCTTCCGCGCGGGCCAGCAGCGTCTCATCAAAGCCTCCAAATATATTGCCCTGGAGCTGCAAGCAAGAACGCGCATAGCGGAGTCAGTGGGGAATACCGTCAGCTCAGGATTAAACCACATTTCCAAGCCCAGAGATTCCTCCTCAAAGCTCAGGTCATAAAAATTAATATGAAGGCAGCAGCTTTGCTTGACTAGACATGCGGATCAGCGGGGGGGGGGGGAGAGAGAGGTTCAGAGATACGCGATTGTTCTGGCGACATGAAAAAAACATTAAGCAAGTGCCTGTCAAAATATGTGCCTGAAAGCGGTAATTATGCTTCATCTACATACCTGCGGGGCTGGAAGGCAAACTCTGCGCATCGCCTCGGCGGTGGAGTGCAGGCTGGAGTACTTGGGCTCCGGCAGGGCAGGGTGCATCGGGAAGGGCTGCTTGGCGTTCATGGCCATCATCTTTGCACACCTTGCAGGTAGGCAGCCCCTGACATGGATTCAGGGCTGTCTCTCTGGCTCGCTTCTGTCAAAGTGAGCTACTTTCAATAACAGAGCTTCCCCCCTCGCTCCCCCCCCTCCCGCTTCTTCACTCATCTTACAAGCCGCCTGCCAGCAGTGGGACCGGCGCCCTGCGCGCAGGCGCGCTGCTCGGGCAGACTACAAGGAAAGTAGCCCTAGGAGTCAAGGCTGCCTGTGCCAGCAGCGGCCGGTGGATCGAAGGGGAGCAGCCGGGTTCTGCAGAGCCATGGGCCGGCCGGTTTTAACAGCAGCGCGTCTGACCCTCGCAGCCAGTGCACGCTCGTGTTTTCAAACAAAGTCCAAGGAAGTGCTAAGGCCCCTGCCCCCGCACTTCGCTCGGTTCCCCTGGGTGCCCGCTCTGGGAGTCGGGGTCCCAGACAAGGGGCAGCAGAGTGGGCGGTACCGTAGCACAGGGAGACACGCATGGGCCATACGCAGAGCGGCGCGTTGTCCACACACGCGGCGGGACCCAGATATAGAAGTGAGATCAACCGGCCTGTTTGTCACAGCCGCAGCCAGGGGCCAGCGGATCTCGGTTGATGATGGGAGCCCTTGCGGGAGGTGTGGGGAGGGGGAAACACCCTCCCGCAGCTGGAGATGGTCAGTTACGTTGTGCAAACAGAGCAGAAAAGTCTCAGTCAATCTGGGGAAACAAAACAGGCACTCACACCCCCCAGAGACACCAAAAGAGCAACACTTGCTTCTGGGCGTTGGCGTCTGCCGGCAAGAGCAGGCCCTTGCAGATGGAGAGCGAATTTTGCCGGCCCCTCTCTGGCTGGGAAGTCTGCTGGGTTGGTTGGGTGGCGTCCGAAGCTCTGCTCCACCCAGCTTTTATTTTCTGAAGTGCATCCTCATTCCTCTTCCAGCAAACCCGAGGAGCTACGTGCTCTGTGCAGTGGAGCTGGCTTTCCCCACCGCTCCGGGCTCCTGGGATGCAGGAGCGGGCCCGTCAGAGGAAAGCCAGCGGTTTCCAAACTTTCTTTTTCAATCGCAGAAGCTCTGCAACAGAAGAAGGAGAATAAATAATGCATGTGAAATCCAGATAAAGCCGCGCGGCGAAAGCCAAGGCTAGAGACAGGGCAGGTACAGGGTTAGAGCAAACAATCCAGCCAACCAAACCGACCCCAGCTGGGGAGAGAGAACTCTCTCGCTTGGGTTTGCAGTTGTCCAGTTTGCTGTAATCCAGGGATGGCGAACCTTCTTTGAGTCAGGGCTGCTGACCCACAGAAAAGTAGTTGGGGGGGCATACAAGAGACACCGTACTGATAGGGCCCCCGACTGAGAAGCAGACACTCCCCACATTTCCCTCCCACACCAAAGCCTACCCCAGCTAGAATAATTTGTAAGCCCCCCTCGGCTCTGGGATGGGGCAAAAAATGAGGGGTTAATATGTGGGAGGGGGCTGCGGGGAAGCAGGCTTGAGGTATGGGGTCTGGGTGGGAAGCAGGATTCAGGAGTGGGTTGGTGGGTCGGAGAGGGTGGGAGGGTGCAGGACAGGGATGAGGCTGGCAGGCACAGCGCCCGTGGGCTGGATGCGGAGCCGGCTCAGGACTTCTCTCCCCAGTCGACGCTCCAGCCCTGTGGGAGGGGCTGTGGGCTGGATGCGGGGGCGGGGGAAGCCCCCACCCTCTGGGCGATCCGCTCCCGGGCCTTAGGTTCCCCACCTCTGATCGCACTATGTGTACAAAGGCAATGCGCTTGAACTGAGACGGAGTTAAGAAGCCAGCAACTGCGGACCAAATATCACCGACTCCAACAGCCTTTCTAACAGTGCGCGGCCTTTTCGTGAGTTACAGTATTTCTTGCCCTCCCACAAGTAGCTTTGCTCTCGGAGAAGGGCAAAGCAGGCGCCTGTGGCCTCAAGGCTTTGGCTGTAGACTCATGCAGATGGAGGAACGCGTTCCTTCAACCCCTGTAGATGATCTGTGGTGCCAAAGGTTTCAGGGATTGCCGAGAAGCCAGAGGAAAAGCGCGGGTGGGGATGCTCTTTCTCTCTCTCAAGCGAGGTACTTGCCTGGAATCGGACCCGTTAGCACTAGAACGGATGAGATCAGCCCTATTCCAGTCTAGCGGTGGGGAGGAAAGTTGGCTTGGTCCAAACCCCGGAGACAGCAGCAGGCGGGAGACACTGAGACCAGTGGTAGGGAGAGAAGGGTAACCACGTGGAAAACTCTTTTTTCAGCTCTTTTACGTCTGAACAGTTTGCACCGGTGGTGGCGGGGGGAAGGGCGATCGGGCCATTTCCTGTCCCTCATCAGACTCGAGAGTTGAAATGTCCCCGGATGGTGGGGCAGTTAAACGAGACCTTTAAATACTCGGCCCTTTGACATTTCCCCTTGTAACTTTGACTGGCACGTGCCGAGCATGGGGGCAGAGGGAAGAGAGAAGCTGCCTGACCGATTCCATCTAGCCTGCTCTCTGCTAAAAACGAAACATTTGCGGGATGAATGTTAAGCCAGGGGCTCAGAGACAAGCCCGCGTATTTACACTCCGGTGTCCAGTGCTGCGGACTGCTCTGGAGCTAGGTAAGCGCCCGGCTTGGGCGTCCCTACCAGAAGAAGGCAGTGACAAAGTGTCGGCCGCATTAGAATTCCTTTCCCTGGGAATCCGAATCTACATCCACAGACAGCTGTCAGCTCAGTGTGAACGCCACACGCGAATTGTACTCTGGGCTGCGTCCTTGACCCAGCTGGCCCTGGCGCTGAAGGGAGAGCGGCGTTCTACCCACCAAACCCAGCCTGGCTTGTTATAATCTGATCCTGCCAAAGTTTTCTTCCCTTCCCAGGACCTTATGATGGGAGGGAGGGGAACAGCAAATTCTTCGTCAATTGCAATCGATTTGCCCAGAGGGCAACATAGCAACTCGGCACCAACGGGGTGAGTAGAAGATTTCACGGTAAACTGTTGCTTACCTCATCCAAAAAGTTGGCTCAGCAGCTTGCCGAAAGCGTGACAACTCCCATTGACTTCAAGCAAGATTCGGTCCCTTACTTTGGACCCTGCAGAGCCTTTGTATAGGAGCAAGACCCTTCCCTACAGATCCGCTTCAAGTTTGCCTTGGTCCAGTGCAATGGTGAATACTCTTCAACGTGTACATGGACTGTACTCAGTTGCTGGCTTTGCAACGTATCTTCCTCAAGGCAGCCCTCAGCGCCTTTTGCGCGTTCAACAAGGCAAGAGGAACCAGAATTTTTAAGACAATGTAAACTTCTCTGAGGGTGGTTGCTGTGAGGAAAGCTCGTTATCATCTGATCCTGCCAAAGTTTTCTTCCCTTCCCAGGACCTTATGAGGGGAGGGAGTTGAACAGTTGGGAGGCCATCTGCAGTTCTCACTCTGGCAAAACTACCAATTACATCAGCATTGCGGGTCAGGCGCCTGCCATGGGAATCCCAACCACGCGTCTCTGTATCACTATTAAGGAAGCGACTGACAGTTCGTTTGCGCTCAGCATTTGTCAGCACCGCAGAAGCTAAGGTGAAGCATTAAAACTAAGAAATTGTTTCCACGGAGGAAATTGATGGTAACAGAAATCAGAAACAGCCCTCAACCAGAACAGTGTATCCGGCCTCTTACTGCTCCCAGTTCTTCGTTCCACAGGACCTTAGCATCAGAACCAGACCTGAGTGTATTAGAATACTAGTTGCACTTTCTCTGAGCTGCTGAAACTACTTTGCAAACATGCATTCACAAAGCTTCACCGCCCAGCTGTACCACAGTTATTAAAACTGCAGCATGTATTTGCACAGGACAGTAGGGAAAACTTTGAAGCTCGGAGACGTTAAATTACTTCCCAACTGACTTAAACGCCTATAAAATAGACGCTGAATAATAATTATGACACGGTTTTATATCTATATTGCATAGGCTGGAAGTTATTTTTTTCTTGAGACTAAAAAAGAGTAGAAAAGGGAGACTATTAAAATATAGTTTTTACTAGTTATAGTTATAATTTGGGATCCTCAGAACCTTCACATGTCTTCAAAAGTTTGGCCCGGTTTTATTTTTTGATGGTCTGGAGATTTAAATCTACTGATAATAGTGAACTCTGCAGTGCCACAGAAGAATGAAACTGCTGTCAAAGTTTAAAAGTGAAGATTCCAAAGCCCTCAGATCTTTACAGAGATTCTGTGACACCATATCCAAAGATCCAAAGAAGGGCAACACAAATGATCAAAGAGCTAGAACACATAACTTATGACTGAAGACTGAAATAATTGGGTTTGATTAGGGTGGAAAAGAAAAGACTGAGAGAGGATATGATAACAGGTGCAAGTATCTAAATGATTGTTAAAGGAGGAGGGAGAAAAATTATTCTCCTTGCCCTGTGATGATAGGACAAGAAGCAATGGGCTTAAATTGCAGCAAGGGAAACACTTCCTAATGGTCAGGGTGGTTAAACACTGGAATAAATTGCCTAGAAAGGTTGTGGAATCTCCATCACTGGTGATCTGTAAGAGCAAATTAGACACCCACCTGTCAGGGCTGTTCTAGATCAGGGATGGGCAATAACTTTCACACGGTTGCCACTTGATGTGATCATGAGTGGTTCCACCCTCAGAAAGGGCAGGGTCTGGGGCAGAAAGGGAGGGGCATGAAATTAGCCTCCCCCCAGAATTGTCTGGAGCAAAAGGCTTTGAATTAAAAACACAGCAGAGGGCTCCAGTGGCTTGTGGCTCTGCTGCTACCCTGTTGCCTGGCAGCTAGGCCTGGAACTGCTACAGCTATTTAAAGGGCCCCTGGACTCTTGGGTAGTGCTGCTACCAGGAGCCATTTAAATAGGATCCTGCTACCTGAACCACTGGCTGAAAATTTGGTGGCAGGGCAGTAGGATATAAATAGAAAGTGAGGTGATGCAAGATTCAAGTTTTAGTTGGGGCATCTGGCCCCATGGCTGGATCTTGCCCAGTCCTGTTCTAGCTGGTGCATGGTCCTACCCTGAGGGCAGTGAACTGTGCTTGAAGATCTCGCATAGCCCCTCCCAGTTCTAGGATTCTATGA